CGCACAGCGCGCGTGGCGCCCGCTTGCTTTAATTCTGGGTGTTGCGTTTTGTGTTCTCATTACTCGCGCGGGCGCGCTGGCTATGGCACGCGGGCCGGACGGTCAATCAGGTGAAGAGGGACGAGCGAGCGGGGGGGGGGGGGACTGGAAAGAGTGTGAAAGTCACACACTTGTAAGGCATGGACCATTCGTACACTTACGGGTGTAAAGGTGCGAATGAATTTACCTTCGAGAATTCACACACTTGTGCCTTGATGTTGTGCGAATGTCGTTTACACACACACCTACAAGTGTGCAACATTCACACACTTTGGTTTCCGGGTTTGCCACGCTTCCATTTCTGCCTCGTCTTCTAGTTTCGCCGCGTCGTGCGCATCGCGGAATTCCCCCGCGTCATCGCAGGAAAAATCCGCATCGTGCCTTAATTCCCGCGAGCTTACTTCCCGGCCAATCGGACACCGCGGCGCCGGTTTGACATATCTAATGCGACGGCGGCGGGTTCGACGCGGCGGTCAGCGGGTGCGGGAGAAAGTGGCGCGACCTGCGGCCCTGCGGCCTTGCGGCGACGCGCCGGCCGAGCCGAGCTGAGCGGGAGGAAGAGGAGGAAGAGGAGGAAGAGGAGGAAGAGGAGGAAGAGGGGAGCTTGAGCCTAATCAGATGCGCCCGTCGCGCGTCGCCCAGGACAATGACGGCGACGCGCTGCTGCTGCTGCTGCTGCTGCTGCTGCTGCTGCTGCTGCTGCTGCTGCTGCACCCCGACGGGTCCAAGCAGTTCATCGCCCCATGCGCACCTCGGCTCGAGTACATCCTGCCGGCGGTCAGGTCAATTGCGTTGTCGGGACGACACCTCCTCGCCGTCCAATTTCACGCGACGCTTGTATAAGTGCGGTCGGGTTTGTCGAACCAACTCGGGGCTTACGCGGTATGGGTTTGGAACGCACTACATGCATGTGGTATGATATGACTACGAAAATATAGTCCGCGTGTATGTCGGAATACATCGTCGGGATCGACACGAGGACGGGCGTCAGCACGTGTGGAGCATAATCCCGCCATGAGCCTCTCCGGCGCTGTGCTCCGCTGTGCTGGACGTCCCGTTACCGCCACCGACTCCCGCCCGCCGCCGCCCCCCGCGGCCCGTGGGAAAGGTCCCATTACCGTGGGAAACCGGTCCCGACACGGTGTCGCGCGGCTGAAATATCGAAAAGTAGCAAACAGACAATACCAAAATGAAACGACGGTGAGGTCGTTATCAAAGTTGTCATTTTTAGACGGTCCCCCTAGACTGTCTCTGCCAGAGGGAAAACTACCTGTTTTTGTTATTCGCCGTGCCGCTCTCGGCTGCACACACGCACCGCGGAGCGCGGCCCCGGCCGGCCGGCCACCACGAGCGGATCAAACGGTCACACAGCGGCGCGAGTTGCGCGGCGATGGTGAGCAGCTGAATGACCGGGACCTGAGTGTACAGCCGGCGGGGCAGCCGCCGGGGCTACCGCCGGGGTCAGTCGCACAGTTGGGCAACGAACCTGATCGGCGTGTGTGTGTGTGTGCGCGCGAGCGCGCACTGCACATGCGTGGTGTGTGCAGTCGGTAGACGTTTTACCGGTGTTTTGCCGCGCGAATTTCAGGGCGCGCGCAATTGTGACGACATTCGTCAATCCGTCCCGTGGCGTACCCCCTCTCCTGCCGTTCTTCCCCCTCCTCCCCTTCTCCTCCCCACCTCCTCCCCACCCAATCCCCCAGGCGGAGCGGCTGTCTCTGCCCCACTTCGGCTGTCCAGTCCTGATGCCCTCTTCGCCAGTCTCCCGATTGCTGGCTGGAGCTTGGACGAGCTGATTACCGATTCCCGTACAGTGTGGGGCGTCTGGAGGGCGCCGGACTGGTTGCGCAGAGAGACAGAGACGGTGGAGACAAAGCAAGCAATAGAGAGAGGTTGAGGAGGGGCAATGAAAAGAGAGGGATAGAGATTAGAGATGCATTTTTAAAACTCTTTTGAAACCTTATGTCTAAACGAAATTTTGCTTCCAGTCGAAGTAGTGTCGAATCGACATTGAAAACGATATTGTCATTCGTGCCGCTTCAATGTCGTTTTGAAAGGTATACCTTTTAGGATTTCTCACTGGGTGCGTGCGGCTGTCTTTGGGGAGTCACAGAGGGCGGCGTGGGGACAGCAGGGGGACACGAGGGGACACTGCATGAAGGAGAAGCGGTCGAGGAGCTCGCGGAGGAGCCGCGCCCAGTCGCGTGTGAAATGTGGAACAAACCGATCCGTCAGGCCGCCGGAGGACCAGTGCGGGGCGGGACGGGGCCGGCGGACGGGTGGTGCGGCGGCGGGTATGAGGATGTGATTGGCGTCGAGGTAGCAAATGGGTCATGGGGAAGAGGGGTGGTGGGCAGGAGGGCCAGCAGAGGCTGAATGAGAGGTTGGTTTCTCCACGCACGCGACAAATACAAAGAGAGGGGCGGCGGCGGCGGGGACCGGCACAAGCACTATGTAGTCTCCCGCTAGCCAGGATGTCAAGTCCGTTCCGTTGGCTCTGCGGGTCCAGCGGGTGCACGCGCACCGGCGACTCACGCAGCCGCGCGGCCGGCCCGGGGAAAAATGCAAAACCCCCAAAGTACACACAAAGACGTTCACAAAGATGTTTCTGCAGAAGAATGGCAGCCAGTGATGAATGGGGCGTCGGAATGCCAATGTGCCAATGTAGTCAGCACTTTTTGTTGAGGCACGTTATAGGCAAATAATTACTTTAAAATTTAAAATAACAAAATAAAATAATTTGAAAAGTCACCGGTGGTTGAGAATTACGGATCTCACCGTAAAACATTGCACATCGCGCCGCGCGGTTTTCCCATCCCGCTTTTAAACGCAATATCCGATTGGTCGCAACAGCAGCGCAGGAACCAAACCAAACCTCTGCCGCTGCGATAATCCGAAACGACATTGAGTGAGGTCAGAGACGCGCTATAATGGTAAGAAAACTATTTCCAGCGGAGACTTTCAGGCGCTTTAGGGGCCGAGTTAAAGAAGCAAGGAAAAGAGGGAGGGGGTGACAGCACACCTGTACATCACACAGACACTCCAATTTTCTTGACAGGTGACGCAAATCTTTTTGAATTGACTTAAAGGGTACACTAACCATGACACTATCGTAGTAGTGGTAACGGAGCGTCGTCACGCCTCGGAGGAACGACAAACGATTACAGTTCTACTTAACGCCTCATAGGGCAATTATACGCGTGCGTGCGGCGTGCGCGGCGTCCTCGGCGCGCTGCACACTGTCAGAAAAAAGCACAGGATTTTCACAGAAAAAAGTGCGTCAATTAATTACACAGCCTGTCTGTGCTCAATCCTGTGTGAAGCACGGAGCTACCACAGTATGCCAGTGCTCAATCCTGTGATAAACCACAGAACTACCACACGAAAGTTCTGTGCTTTCACAATCACAGTAAAATAGTGTGATGAAAAATTAGTAATAAAAGGCAGTAGTGGCGCT